CTAGTAACAAGTGCCTTACTAGTAGTAACAAGAAGCTAGTAGGAACAGTGACTCACCAAAGGAATTCCAAGTTGACTTCTCTCTTGCTTGCAGTTCGGCGCCCGATGGATTGCGGCTCCGAGCCGAAGCAAGAAAACTCGGCATGAAGACACCGGTGGTTTGGACCCACAGCCATTTCGGTGAGTGAACACGATCGAACGAAAAAAACCGCTTCAATTCCGTCACAGCGGGGCCGAAGTATTTGGGAACCTGGTGCTTTTTGTTCCTACTAGCTTCTAGTAGCGATGCACTTGTTCCTAGTAGCTTCTTGTTACTGCTAGTAAGGCACTTGTTACTAGTAGCTTCTTGTTACTACTAGCAAGGCACTTGCTCCTAGTAGCGATGCATTTGTTCCTACTGCTGAGGACAAGGATGGGGATAAGATTAAAAACCTGAAAAATCATATGCTCAGCGACCTCAATCACCATCGCTCCAAGTGACGAACCTCCAACCACATGGAACAAATGCATCGATCCTGTGGAATAGATATCAGCATCCTCATTGCCAGGTCACCAATGGTTCGACCTGGTCTCGGGCCCAACAACCCTCTAGAGGAGCTTGACATCTGACAAGCACCACCAGCACCAACTGCTCGGTCAAGAGCAGCCAGTGCCCTGAAGTCGTCTCTGGAAATTCTGAAGTCGTCTCCTCTTCCAGTCCTTCCCAGCAATGTCCTTTCTCGGGAACCATGGAGAGATTTAGTACCACATACCTATTAGTTGTTCACGACCGGGGACACGTCCCCAGTACGTTCATCCACCAGTACGCCAGGCTAGGCCATCGATGGTCCTTCTGCCGCCCTCCGCACCGTTGTTCGCCGAAACTCCACATCCCAAAGCCGCACGGTGCAATCGTCAGATCCGCTAGCCATGAGGTTGTTCCTGGCAACGCGGCATCGAAGAGGGGCATCATATGGGTGTGGATCCTGCTAGGTGGATGTCCTCCGAAAAAGAGGGCGGGTGTGCGAGAACGAGAGCACACACTAGATCAACACCTATCAAAAGCACTGTAAATACCATGCAAAGGTTCAAAAACTGCTCTGAGACCTAGGTGAAACGCATATTTTCTTCTATCGTCCTGTGCCAAATCTCTATGTGAAATGTCAATGTGTAACACCAATGATAAGCATTATCAGATTGATTCCTCTTTGCTTAACATCAACACCTGCCTGGTCGTTTGTTTTCATTTGTTCTCCATATCGGTCAAAGTTGTTTGAAAGAAATGATGTCAAAAATGCAGACTTCAGCTTCAAAACTCTCCACTCAGCAACTTCGCCTTGATCCCAAAGGGCCTTTTTATTGTTCCAATAGGTTTTAAATGTTATGACTTTTTCTATGCTTCCATCTATGTTTTCATTTATTTGCTGTCGTAAATAACACAGATTTAATTGCTTTATGAATTTCGTGTTGGCTGGCATCTTGTCCAAGCCAAGAGAAACAAAAACCATGACTATATATATCCGCCGACCCCGGCCTATAGCCAAAGCCTAGGCGGGGAGGCGCCTGGGACACCGCAGGGTGAAGCAGTTGGCCAAGCCTTGCAGAACCCTTCCAAGCACTTCCAAAGGCATGTGTGCAGGTGCATTGTGGTTGGCCGCGGCCTCTCGGTGGCCTGTCCGAGGCCTGCCTCTCCTCTTCTTATGGGCTTTTCCGAAAGCAACGTTAGACACCCACGGGCCCCGCCCTCAAACGCTTCTCGGCAGCCGGCAGGCCTGCCCCGGC